TTGCAGCATGTCAAATTCTGCAAATCTTCTGGGAACGCTTCTGATTCTTTGTGGTCTCTGAACTTGTTCAGAGTCTTGAGCTTCAGAGTTTCTAGCTTCAGATGATTGACCTCCAGAGCTTTGACCATCTTCAGAGTCTGGCATATTTCCAGAGTCTGAATTGCCACCAAGATCTGGATTGCCATCAGAGTCTGAATCATCAGAGTCTGGGTCATCAGAGTCACCTTCATCTTCTGAGTCATCTTCAGAGTTTGAATCAGTATCAGAGTCAGAGTCAATATCAGGGTTTACTTCAACTTCAGAAATTCTTAACTCTGGCCTTTCTTCAGAGGTTCTAACATCAGAATCAGATTGAGACTTATCCCAATTCCAAACTTCTGATTCCTTCACAATCACATCTCTGCTGAATTCAATTTTATTGGTTTCTGGACAATAGAGCTTGTATGCACCTGTACTGTGGTACCCTATCAGAATCATCACTTTGCTTCTATCATCCAGCTTCTGTCTTTTGGCTTCTGGAACATGTTTATAGCAAACAGAACCAAACACCTTCAGATGACTAACACTTTGCTTGTCTCCAGTCCACTTCTGCATAGGAACTATTTCCTTCAACTTCTTCGTAGGACATCTGTTGAGTACATACGTTGCAGTGGCAACAGCTTCTCCCCAGAGCTTCTGAGGAAGCTTCTTCTCCTTTAGCATGCTTCTCACCATATCAAGCAAAGTACGATTTCTTCTTTCAGCAAGACCATTGTGTTGAGGGGTATAAGGAGCAGTAACCTCATGCTCAATTCCATTCTCCTCACAGAACTTCTGGAACTCTTTGGAGTTATACTCACCTCCACCATCAGTTCTAAGAATCTTCAACTTCTGACCACTCTGATTCTCAGCCTTCATTCTGAACTTCTTGAATTCATCAAACACCTCGTGTTTGAACTTAATAAGGGATACCCATGTCATTCTTGTGAATTCATCAACAAACAACACAAAGTATTTATTCCCTCCAATTGATGCTACTGGAAATGGACCACACACATCAGAGTGTACAACTCCCAAGGCATGTTTTGCTCTTGGAGCAACTTCTGATGCAAATGGCAATCTTGGTTGTTTTCCTTCCATGCAAACTTTGCATGACTTTTCAGGCTTCTTAATTGCAGGAATTCCATGTACCAATTTCTTTGAATTCAGATGTTGTAAGCTTCTGAAATTCAAATGACCAAATCTTCTGTGCCACAGCTCACTCTCCTTCTCAGTACTTGTTGCACTAAGACACTCTGAGTCTGCAGTTCTGACATTCACCTTGAATGTTCTATTCCTTCCCTGTTCTGACTCCATAATCAACTTCTGATTACAGTCATACAGCTTCAGAAGATTGTCCTTCATGGTAACTGAGAAACCTTTCTCAATTAATTGTCCCACACTCATCAGATTGCTTCTGATGCCAGGTACATACCACACATTCTGAATCAATGCTATTTTTCCATTGTTCAGAGTCACTCTGACATTTCCCATACCTTCTGCATTAAGATATTTGTCATCAGCACATCTGATCTTTGTTCTCTTTTCAGAGTCAAAGTCAACCAGCCATTTCTTGTTTCCAGTAAGATGATTTGAACAGCCAGTGTCCATATACCACCAGTCTGTCAGATCATCAGATTCAGAGGCCATCAATAGCACAGATTCGTCATCAGAACTTCTGGCTATATTTGCTTCTTCTGATTTCTTCTCCTTGTTTGACCAACAATCTCTAGCAAAGTGACCAAACTTCTTACAACAGTAACATTGGATCTTCTTCTTGTCATACTTCTCTTTTCCCTTCTGAGCATTCTTTTGTCTATCAGAGGTTGAGGTTTCTGACTTCTGACCACCATCAGATCTTCTCTTGGCTTCTGACTGCTTCTGATACCTCCTATCAGAAATTGCTTTCAGAGCCTGCTGCTCTACTTCCCTTTCAAAAGTTCTCTCAGTCAAACGCAACTCTTGTGCTTCTAAACTGCTTTGCAGCTCTTCAATTCTCATTGTGCTCAGATCTTTGGAATGTTCTATTGCTACCACAATGTAATCAAATTGAGGAGTAAGGGATCTCAATACCTTCTCCATGATTGTTTCTTCAGAAAGAGTTTCTCCACACGCCTTCATCTCATTAGTGATTAGAATCACTCTGGAGATGTATTCAGAAACTTTCTCATTATTCTTCATGTTGAGATTCTCATATTGCTTTCTCAAGGACTGAAGCTTCACCTTCTTCACTGATGCGTCACCACCATAACATCTCACCAGAGTGTCCCATGCAGCCTTTGCTGTTGTAGAGTCTGCAATCTTCTCAAACACGTTTACATCCACACATTGATGAATGAAGAACAATGCTTTCTGATCCTTCTTCCTTACTTCCTTCTGCGCGTTTTTCTGTTCATCGGTTGCATCTGCTGCTACTGGAACATAACCATCAGTGACAAGATCTAGAACATCTTGAGCACCAAATAGTACACGCATTTGGATCATCCAACGATTCCAGTTTTTACCATCAAATACTGGAAGTTTGGTGTTCATGTTGCCGTTTCCGTTCATCTTCTACTTTGCACAATACACTCAGATTTCTCACAGAGTGTTTCCCAACCCACAGAATAAAATTCTGATCAGATTTTGTTCAAGATTCAACACGAATCTAAGAATCAAAATCAAACACACAAGACCTCACGTTCACTCGTGTTTCCCGTGTTTCCCAATGAATCTGAACCGGAGCTCTAGATACCAATTGTTGGTGCAAAGATAGAATAATGAAAATAGGGAAATATTCTATTAAAGAGAATGACGGCAGAAGAAACAGGATTAAGAGTTACAATGATTGTCACCCTATTTATAAGCTAAAACTAGGGTTACTAGAATAAGATAAATACTAAAATACCCTCTAACAAACTTAGGGGCTAAGAAAATAATATAATAAAATATGAATTATTACTAATAGTACATACCCTTAAAGCAAAAAAATGAAACAAATAAAAAAATAAACAAAAGGTTCCCGTAGAGTACTACGGAAGTTTAGGGTGCTAATACCTTCCCTAAATTTAACCAACCCCCGAACCTTAGATCTCTCCCTTTTAGGTTTTTCCTTTCTTTAACCTTTCCTTCGGATAAATCAAAGACCGGTTGTAAATGAATTAAGATTCAAGTTAATCAATAGCTTGACATCCAAATTTCACCGCAACAATGACCTTCTGAGAAATTTTTCGAAAAACATGTGAGTGAGGACAAAGCATGTTGAAAAGATTTGTGTTGGTTTGTGAAATTAATCGGTAATCCTAAAAGTAGTCTGAAGCATTAAAGACTCAATAAAATCACTACAAATACCACAAAAACCCAACTATTAGATCAAGAAGAACCCCCACTTAAGCAAGTTCTCTCAAGAGAAACTTATCTAGTAGGAGTTACAAAAAAAAATTTACTTCCAATGGTACCCAACTAGCCCAACTCAAAGGAAAAGGAGACGAGAAATCTTAAAACCAAACTCAACTAAAGAAGAGTCTTATAAGTAAATGCAATACATTTAATAAGAATGTTATAAATAAATAAAAAACTCATTCCAAGGAAGAATGTTGAAATCTCTCTTTTTTCTTCATATTATCGTTAATAGGAATCTTACTATTGATCATCTTCGACGCGAAAATAGATGCTTTTAGCGACATCGTTTTGTTCCATACTATTTTCAAGGCCAGATTAGAATGATGATTTTTCGCGTATCTAATATTATAATTGTCTTTCAATGAGTAACCAAACTCCCAACTGTTAGAAACATTATCTTGTAAAACAATATTATCTAACAAAGACCAACACCCTGTCCTCAAACTCTGCCTAATCTTCTCATCTCTATAGTAGAAATATTTTTATTTGCCAACTCATAAACACGACAGAACCTACTACTAAAATTGTCTTCCTCCATCCCAGGATTATTCAAGAATGACAATCGTTTCTCCATTACCCATCAATCGTGACAATCAATCATCTAACCACCGACTCCCACTCACCACCATCATTCTTTAGTCCCGCCACCACAGAGATGCCTTACTCCCCCCACCCTTGAATTCAACCCCATATTTCACAGCTAGCACACACCCGATACCCCCACCCTTGACACTTCCAAATTGCACCCTCTACCCCATATTTCACAACTAGCACCAAAAACTACATCTCATCTTGATCAACATCAAACCTCCATCCGCAACCCTCCGAATCCACCTACTTCCCTATCCAAACACACTTTTTTTCAATTAATCCAATAGATTTTACACACGTCCTCATTTCCCTCAAAGGAAATAAGTTTGTAAAGATTTAATAGAAAAAAATAATACCCATGAGTCAAGGAGAAAGAAAGAAAATAAACCAGCAAGAGGTATCAAAAATTAGTTCTCATCTTTACAAGACATTCTCCATCAATCACAAAATGCCATAATCGTGTACATTACATAAAATGACTTCAATCAAATTTCATACTGTGATCTGAACTTGGAAATTATGAAGCAGTGAATCTACAGATGGAATGTCTTTTAGTATACAAAAGAATGGGACATTTTATACAATATTGTTCTTTAGCCAGTAAGTGTCAATAAAACCTAATGCTAGATCAGCCAAACGATGATGGAAAATTAAGCAAATCAAAAGGTTTCTTTCATTGTACTGATACGCTTTGAGCTTTTTTTCCCGCAAACAAAAGAGAGGGATAGTCATAGGCAGTTTGCTCTTGAAATTCTCATACTTCAATCTCAAATCGCACTCAACAGCATGGAAACGGTAGCACCTAAGTTGATCAATGATTGGTGATTGTCTTCTAGATCAAGAATGGATTGACTACTGAGTCTATATCCCAACATCATGCGCCTTTAGCAACTTTTTCTTTATATATACATAGGCCAAAATCTAAAATTCGCAGCCTGAAGCTGTAAAAACTATATCTATGTGGTCCTCAAGATGCAAAATATGCCAGGATATAGTTCAAAGTTGAAAGTTCAAACAACAGAGGTGCTAGAACGAGCAACCCTTTGAGCTTCTTCCAAGTCCCTGAAAAACCTGCAAATTCAAATAGAAAACTCCTGTTCTGAGAATCCAGAATGCTACTTGTGCAAAGCAAGTTGGAAGTTTTAGCAGCTAACTAGTCTACCCAGGACCAATTAATAAACAACCAAGTATAACAAAATATATCAATCTGCAAGGCACATTGAGACCTACCCAATAAACTTTATCAAACCGTGACGGCGACTAACTTCAAACAACAATGAAAACAACAAAGAACTCATTTGGTTTGAATAAATGCTGTGCTTTTTATTGTATAACTGTGCTAATAGTTTTAAAACTGTCACATAGTTTTGACTTGTTTAGTTTTTTGAAGTTTGTAAAATAACGAAATGCCATTTAATGATTTATTGTATAAACATTTGGCAACATAAAACAAAGTGCAAATGATGTAACATTTTTGTAATTAGTAGTAAAATAGGAAATAAAGCCAGAAAATATTAACAAGCCACAAGTAAGCCCAAACAATCACTACAAAATTTTCCATCAATAGCCTGGAACTATCAAATTTCAAAAATAAATACCATTGTTTGAGAGAATTTATTATGTAAAATGATTCCAATTAAAAGTGAGTTAAGGTAAATTAATTTATGTTTGAATGCAATCACATGGAAGAGAGTTGAACAAAAAATTTAAGTATAAAGATCAATTCTAGAATCAAAAGCTCCAATTCCTAATTTTAAGGTAGAATCAATTCAGAAGACGAAATCAGTTCAACTCGAAAATAACCAAATCTATCCAAATCACTCCAAAACTGATTTTGGCTCTTCCAAGAGTGGATCCAAACATACAAGTAGTTAGCATGTCAACATGAAAGTACAATTGGAAAAGAAAATTAACTTTTCTCAATATACAATCCAAATTATTTTTAGGTGTTGAACATACCTTTTAGAATTAAGAACAGAAGAGCCACCAAGTATAAACCGAACACCTGTATTGCTGGCATTTTGTAGAGCAACAGACCGTGACTCCTCATATGTTGTCCCACCAACAATGAAGATAATTACGTCCTGAGGCCTGGTTTTCATACAGTCATCAACATCACAACTCAGATTATTCCACAGTTCTATGATAATTGTAGATATTGAGAAACAGGCAACAATGTAGTGTCATCAAATATTTAATAGAAACAAATAAAATTCCATGAGACCTCTAGAAGTCTACAAATAAAATGACTATGAAGAATTTATATTTAATAGAAACAAACCTTCCTTGTTGGAAGTGATTCCCAAAAAATGGGTAGTCTACATCTCTCAACCGCCCTTTGACAATGCTTTCCATGATTTGGAACAGAAGTGGCTGATGCTGGGTGTAAACATTCTCAACACCCTGTAGCAAAAAAACAGTATTTTTGAGATTCAAGACTTGCATCATCAAGCATATGATGCGGTAGTAGTCATAATAATTCAATGTTTGAATATGGTTTTGGTCCCTGTAAAATTGGACACTAACAATTCCAGTCCCTATACAGTTTTTATTTAGTCCCTAAAAATACACAATTTGTGCGCTTTTAGTCCCAAGGAAAGGGCTGGTGAGGGACTAAAACATACTTTCTTGAATATAATAAAAAACTGTCAAATCAAATCAAATTTTACCAGTATTATACAATAACATATTAAAATCGTAATATAATGCAGACCTTAAGTCCACGTGCCATGTTACGGGCAATATTCATTAGATCTCGATTTCCGTAAAGATCAGCAGTTCTCTTGTCAACACCTGCCTGCTTCAAAAGAAACTGGACAAGCTGTTGTGCCACAATGAAGATATCAATATCAGAAACTTTGCCATGTAGCCATGTCAAAAGCAGCAAAATAATCATTTAAATTATATTCTTATGTTAATCAGTCTTGTTGAACCCAAACTTTTATTTTTAATCCAAAGATATGACAAAAATACAACCCAAAAAAAATTCACCACCCCTACTACTTATCTAAGGTTTAAAATTGGATAACATCTGTTAAGGATTAAGGGATATTCAGACATTCATGCATCAGAATATATGGAATTAAGAAGACAACAGTTTAAGTTTGTTTACCCCAGGTTTGTATTTGGCAGATCTGGAAGCCAGTTTGTTGAAAAGCTGCATTAATTGAACAGGGCTGTCCTTCTCATATCGCAAAGCATATAGCATGACCAACCGTAGTCGATCCAAATCTGATATGCTTTCATTATTTAGTAGATTTGTCACTGCCTGCAAAAGAGTACATAGAGACAGAAGTTATAGATTATCACCCGAACCTTATGTTAATAATTAGATATAATCATATAATTTGCTACTATTTCAGAAGTTAGACTATGCACTAAACACACTCCAAGTGATATAACAAACATTCATACAAGTAATTAGCATGTTTCTTAGTTTATATTTGACGGTCATAAAAAAACACTTTTGAGTTTTGAGAACAAGCAGAAGAGAATCTTAAATAATTAAGACTATACGATTAATGTATACCTCAAAAGCAGCTCCTTGCCCTCCATTGCAAGCCAACTCCTGTTCTGTTTGTGAAACTAACATAAGTTTTCGCTCTTCAACTATCTTGCTCATTTCTGTTACCAAAGTCACATGTTTTGTCACATTCCCATGCATTTTTCTGTACTCAGGGTAATTGTCAACAAACTTGGCCATGTCCTCTGTCAAGAGTTAAATCATGAAATCGGGGAGTATTAATAACATGTATTATGCTAACATGTATAAATAAGTTTTTACATTCAGTGCTGAACAGTTGAAAGGGATTTTACTACTCTGAAATGTGAGAAAATAAAAAGTACAAACCTACTGTTTGGATGTTCTGATTGCTCTTTGCCACTTGTTGAAACTCATCAACCAGTCGCTTGATATTCATACCAATGTCTCCAAAATTGTCATACATGTTTGCTTTGAAAAATGAATCTTGTTCTGATGACAGCACAACCTCCTGCAACAAGAATTAGCAAAATACTACTTTTCAATGAGCACAAAATCAAGACTACAGTATGCTTCTGACATATTACCCAGTGCAAGAAATGTATCAAACCTCCTGATCCTTTGGAAATTTACCAATGGATTTGACGTCCACTTTGTTGTCCTGGATTCCTATCAATTCATGAACCATAGCCTGTATAATATAACACCACAAATGAGCATCACCTATGTAAAGAAAATTATCAGATCACTCAGCTGTAAGCTTGTTAATACACACTAAACTTGTGTTTATATCACATATATGATATACCTGATAGGTCCATTGATTTAGCAACGGGGTTACAGGGTCATCCCTCCTGTCAATCACCAACAACAATGGAGAAACTTCCATTCGCCTAAAATCGAAAAGACCACTTTCCTCTTGGTACATCAGTTTCTGTTTCAAGCCCAATAAAGTTAATTAGTTCGCTACATATGCCAGCACAATCACTAATAATATAACATGACATGTTAGGGTGCACAAATTGCCAGCCAAATATCAAATACATTGAATATTTAAAATTTGAGTTGGGCATAACTCAACTCCTATAAAACCGGCCTGTAAGGTAAAGATTGTCTTCATATATAAAATATTCATACATGCCATATCTCATCCAGTGTGAGACTCTTAACACATTTCAATTCTACGATACCATCACAAAATTTGAGTTGGACATAACTCAACCACTACAAAACTGGCTCGTAAAGTATGGATTAATCCCATTTATAAACTTATACTCAGACAGACCGTATCACATCAAATGTTGAACTTTTAACAACATACATGATACATGTGTAAATAAGCACATATATACTCAGAGACAAGCCCTATGCATTATACAGTTCAAAACCATACAAATGATGGAGGTATAAAAAATTATACTTGCAGAAACCATCAGCCAAGTTGCTAAAATGCAACATCAATTATTAAAAATAAACTACAAAATACAGGTTAGACAATGTGGCTTGAACTCACAGCTGCTTCCTGTGCTATTCTTTTTGCAATGTCAGATGTTCTTTGATATCTAATTACAGGTCTCCGTTTTAATGCCAAAAAAAGAGCAGCCAGACCTTCAACAACCCGATCACTGAAACGCTGCAATGCTGAAGGGTCTATGACAGCTGGGAGCATATAAATGTAATTTGAAGGCACGTGGAAAGTGAAATGATAAGGATCAATAGCAACAAAGTCTGCATAGAACTCCTGAATGATCAAAACAACAACTGCATAAGAATAAAACTTTGCATAAATGGGAGTTCAAAGCGTCAAGCTCGACAGTGTGAAAAGTCATTTATCAGATAAAGAACAGAGTAGTAATTATAAAAGTCACAATCATAGGAGGAAATAGAATGAAGAGAACGCCCTTTCATCCCAGACTTGTTTCATGAGAATTTATAATATTATTTTGAAACTATAAACTGATTTGTAATTTTCTTATAAATTTTTAAATAAACTAGCAAGTCCATTACAAACTTAAAATACAGAGAGTGTGCATCCCATAAGCAGTTACCTGAACTTGCTGGACGACTTCCTGTTCATCTGAATCAGCAAGTAAGTGAATATGATGGTCCTTCATTATGTTGGAGAAAACTGTAATTTCAGAATAGATTCAAAAAATGTCTTCAAATCAGTGTAAGAAAATCACTATAAACTTTGAGAATTACAAATTGAATTCATAATGAACGATTATACTATAGTTTATTTAAGTGTCAAGCAACAAAATTGAAAAACCTACATAGGTGATACTCTCCAAATCTAGGACTAGCCAGCTGACGGCGCATATACTGAATATTCTCTGATGTAGGTCGAAGGAAGTAAATGGCCTTAAGGTGCGACATTGGTTCGTTTGACTTGGAAATCGAATCCACCAATTCTACCAAAAACACTTCTTTCTGAAGAAGTTCTGACTGTGAGTACACAACACTCACAATACTTACCTGCAAAAAATTGACGGAAAAAACGCATTTCCTTATAATCAACCAAAAATCAAATAATCCCTCCCTGTACAGCTAAGTTACAACGAAATGTTGATACACGGTTTTCATGAAGTAAAACAAAATAGAATAATCAAAACATCATTATTTACAAGAACATATCAACATTATAAACTTAATAATCGATCAAACTATTATAAGTTTATAACTATTAAAAGAACAAAAAAAAAACGATTTGGTGATATATTGATCGAATTTGTTAGGAATGTGGAAGATCATCATTGATGAAGAAAGTGGCGTACCGTTTGAGAATCAAGGATTAGAACCTTCATGCCAGAGATGTCCTGCAAGATGCGGTTGATGTAATCGCGCGCGGAGGATGTGAGAACCATGTTGTGTGTGGGAATTGAATCTCTAGAAGAAAGTGAATTGAAGAGGTTGCGAATCGACGAGTAGAGAAAGGTACTGGACGAAGAAAGGTTCAGAGTTGAGAATTCAGAATTCAGATCCACCACCAGTGAGGACGACGACGAACGCTTGACGCACCGTTTTAGACTTGTTTGCTTCTTTTGGTTTCTTTTTTTCTCGATATTTTTTATTTGTGCAAAAAATTTATTGCAGCATTTTTTATTGTACCATATTAATTAAGTGATTTTTTTAAGGATTTAATTGTTATGTTTTACACTCTCATCCTCATTTAATAGGAATGCATTATTTTCTTATTTCATATAATTAGTTTAAAACTTTCGGTATAAATTAGTGAAATATATGATCGTCATTGATCGATAGTGTAAAAAAATTTTACAATATCAGTAGGGCTGGAAATGAGTCGAGTCGAGTCGAACTCACCTCAGCTCGGCTCGACTCGTTAAAAATTGTTCGAGTTTGAGTTCGAGCTCGAGTTCGACACGAATTTTTTTTAAGCTCAAACTCGACTCGTTATAAGTTCACGAACAGTTCGGTTCAACTCGTTAGGTTCATCTCACATGATTCACGGACTTAAAAACTATTTTTTAAAATTTATATATTTTTTTAGTATATTTGACATTTTAAATAAATATATATTTTTAAGATAAAATATTAAAATAAAATAAAAGTTATCATATTGAAATTAAACTTTATCTTCGAAATCTACTAATTGAAAACCTACACAATTTTCAAGAGATACATTTGAAAGTCTAATTCAAAAACTACTAAATTGAAGATTAAATTTGTCTAAGATTTGGAGTAAATATTTAAACTTAATCTTAAAGACAGTATAATTCTTCTCATATGTAATCGAGTTGACTCATGAACCTAACGAGTCGAACTATGTATAGTTCAAGTTCAGCTCATTTAGTTAACGAACTTAATTTTTCGCTCATACTCAACTCATTTGGTTCATGAACCTAGTTCAACGATTTAATTGTCGAATCGAATTCCGAACTATTTTCGAGTTGGTTCGGTTCATTGCCAGCCCTAAATATCAGCGTATCACTTTTTTGTTTTTTATTAAAGCAAAGTTTTAATAGACTTCCTACTTTCATAATGAGCTGTTACCGAATTTCGGAAAATTATTCTAAAGAAATTGAATCTATGCTTATTAAGTTTTGGTGGGGCTCGAAGGATGGCGAACAAAAGATACACTGGATGAGTTGGGAGAGGTTGGCTCAATCAAAAGGGGAAAGAGGTATTGGCTTTAAAGGTATTTATGATTTCAATACAAGCCTCTTGGATAAACAATTTTGGCGCCTAATGCAAGAAGGTGGTTCACAGTTGGAGAGATTTTTCAAAGGCAGATATTACCCTCGTTGTTCTATTACGGAGGCTCCTTGTGGCTTTAGGCCTAGCTATGTTTGGTGGAGTATCTTGAGCTTAAAAGATGTTTTTCTTCATGGCTCTAGATGGAGGATTGAAAATGGTATGAAGGTTAGTGTCGTAACCCGAAATTTGACCTCTATTTTTTTGCCTTTTGCATAAGCATGTGCATTCGTATTGCTGGCATACGCATTCACACTTTTTCTCTATGGCTTTCGTTGCAGAAATATTCAGGTTTTCAAGTCTAAGTAATCACATCCTCACAAAGACATCAAGTCATCAACACAAGCAAAAAACAAGGGTTTATATCCCTACTCATCAAAGCAAAAAGTTGAAAATCAGTGTCATGACCATAGCACCATTTTTCATGCAAATTGGGGAAATTTTGACCTGGTTAATCGATTAACCATTTGCCAATGCAAATGGGTTAATCGATTAACCCTTGTAAAAAAATGCATATTCTACTGCATTTTCAAGACAACAACTTGCACTCTACTATTTTGGGGTCTACTTGGTTCTAGCATTGTGTGGAACATTCTAGACATTTCAAGACTTTTCCAAACACTTCAAGGCATTTACTCCAATACATCAATTTAGATTAAGACCACCATGTAAATTCATTTGTAAGCATGAGAACCCTTTGATTTGAGTTTGCATTGGAATTATTACCGAGTCAACTACCTAACTAACTGAGTTAACCTCCAACTCAGTGAGTTGAGTCCAACTAACTCCAAGGCTAGTTCCAAAGCTCATTTCAAACCTAGCAACTCCAAACTTCTTTTCTATATAAATAAAGCTACATCATTTCACAAGGGACCCTTGATCATTTTCTCACCCTCAATCATTTTCTCAATTTCTACATTCTTCACTCTCAATTCTCTCACATTCTCTCTGAATTTTCTGTAACTTTTACTTACATTCATCTTCACTTTCTTCCCAAACCACACTAGAGCTCAAATTCACCATTAAAGAGTAGCAACTTCTACATTGCAAGTGCTTTTCTCTTGAGATTAGCCATCATCATCTTGCAATTCTACTTTTTTTTCCTAGAGTTTTATTGGCTTTCGATTCACCTCAAGTGATTACTCCAAGCCTCTTCGGTGCAAATTCATATTTGAAGATTTCGTCGCATTTTGCTTGGTTTCGCTACGGTTCGGTTGCAAATTATGATTTCTCTGGTTTTCTTTGATTATCTTCACCATAATTCATTTGCAATAACATCTAAGACAGACCTCCACCTTGTAGGTTGGAATTTCTTACTCATTTTACTGTTTCGATAGTTTTCGTATTGATTGCGATATAGTTTCGATACTTTTTCTTGTATGTGAATTGATTATGTTATTGCTTGATACTTGATCTTGATGAGTTAATTGATTCCATTGATGATTATTTGCTGTTTTTGGACTCGATTTTCGTGCATAAATGTTTTCCCTAGCATGTGAGTGATTAAACAAATCATAAGTGCCCAAAAGTGCTTTTGAAAACTCACTGCTTCAGTGTTAATCGAGTAACACTTTTACACTGGCAAAGTGTTAATCGATTAACATTGTGTTTTTCTCTGCCTTTTTTAAAGGGTTAATCGATTAACACTTTTGCACTGGCAAAGTGTTAATCGATTAACACTGCTCCAGATTGCCTTTTTTGTGCATTTTCAAGTGTGTTTGACATTCTTTTCTCATTAAACTCCCATGGATTGTTATAATTTATTTTTATGGATGTTTTATGAATCATTTAACTTCTGTTTGAAGCATGCTTGTAAAATTTCCAATGCTCGATTTTATCGATTACACATTTGTTCACATTTTTGGCATTGTATGGTCATGATCATTCTTGCATATCCTTTGATCATCTGCTACATGATTTGTGATGTATACTAAATGATTTTGGTACTATTTTGCACTTCCATTCATGTTTGCATTAAGATTGTTCCTCTTTGGAATAAGCTTAATTTTGTATAATCAATAATTCGCCCTTTTGCTTTAATAATTTTTCATCTCTTTGGAAAATTATTAGCATATCACTCATTTTTTATTAATTAATTGAAACTTCGTTTCGATTAGTTGATCCTCCCTCTTTCTTCTCCTTTAGATCTTCTAGAGTTTTGTCCTCTCCTTCCCCCGCGGAGTTGAAGATTTGCAACACGTTGGAGCATTGTACAAGTTTTGCGTTGTTGTGCTGTCGATTTCATTTCTCGCACTACACGTTGGTGTTACAGAAGGAATAAGAGTGGAGAATTCCTACACTCATTCTAATTATTTCGGGTGGGAACGAATGACCCTGTGTCTGGAATAGTCTCATTTATCTCCTTACTGTGGTATTCTTCGTTTCCCAACCAAGTTGATCCTTGATCACTTGTACCCTAATCTCATATCTTTGGATTTAACTTCCTCCTTTTGATTCAACATTCTTTTCTCTTTTTGGCCAATCACCATCCTTGGTTTCCACGGAGTTTTGTAATCACTCCTTTCCTTGGCTAATTAATTGTTCCTTGGTTAAAGTCAATTTCTCGTCTTCTCAGCGAAGTTAATCTTTTATCTTCGGTTAACACAATATTCATGTTAAAAAACCTAGTCCCAATTGGTGTTCGCAACCTTCTTTTGGTTCTCTCTCCTTCTTGTTTGGTTAATCATTGTCTGTTAGTTAAAATACCAATTTTCCTCAGTTAATCACAACCCGTCTGTTAACATATTGAGTCTTATTTGGGTTAATCAACTTCTCTCGGTTAATCACCCGATCTTTGGTTAATCATGGTCTGCTCGTTAAAACCATTCTCTATTGAGTTAATCACCTTCTCTTGGTTAATCACTCATTCTTTTCGGTTAATCACAATTCGTCTATTAAACATTGAATCCCTTGTAGTTAGCAACATTTCCTTTGGCTCAAATACTCGCACCTTTGGGTTAGTAACCTTTGGTTGGTTCAAATACTCTTTCCTTCGGTCAAGCACTGCTTGTTCAGTCGGTGTACCGTTCTTTTGGTCGCAACCATCGCTTGGTTTTACACCCACTGTCGCTACTGCGAAAATCGGCGCCGGCTGAACAGAAGAGTCGCCACCGTGCGTTATTTATCCCACGGGAGGGAAAGGAAACACTCAAAGTAAACCTCGCACAACACGGGAAAGGTATGGTCGTCGCAACCAAAACCTGGATCCGGGAGTCGGTTACGCAAGGGGAAGGTATTAGCACCCCTCACGTCCGTCGTACTCGACGGGATCCACGCTTGTTTTCGGGTACGGATTGTTATTCTATCTAATCTACAGGTCTGGGGTTAAAGGAAAATAAAATGAAAATAAAATGACTCGGCAAAGCATCGCACTTTATGCCTACGTATTCCTGTCTGGAACGAGAAATCAGAGTCAACGTAGTTCGCCTACCTACGGGAAAGGAGGGGAAGGTTGCTCGCTAGGATATCGCATCCTATGCCTACGTACTTTCACACGGCATGAAAGATCAGAGCAAACGTAGTTCAGGCCACGTACGACACAGGTTTTTCTTGGTTGATTTTATTCCTTCTGAAAAAGGTTTTCCTGATTAACAGTCCCAGCGGACAAAAATGACATCTTGATGAGTTCACATTCTTTTACGGAAGAAGTGTC